CGCCTTGCCCAGCCGCCCGCTGTCCCGGGGCCGGCCGCCGGGCTCGGCCGCGAAGAGGTGCGCCTTGACCGCGGGGCTGCCCTTGTCGCGGCTCGGCTCCTCCGACGTGGTGGTGGAGATCTTGGCCGCGTCGCAGGCCTCGGGGCCGTGCTCCTCCTTGCTCTCGGCCTCGGCGTCGCTCTCCCCCTCGCTGGGACACAGATCTACCGCAGGCGGGGAACAGAAGCCAGGCGGAAGGGCGTTAGCTTCAGTCTGGGCCGGTGGAATTCCAGTTCCCCGGTGTCAATCCCAGCTCGGCCACTGACTAGCTGTGTAACCCCTGGCAAGCCCCTTAACCTCTCTGTGCCTCAGTTTTCTCATCTGCAAAATGGGAGCGAAGATACCTCACCAACTTTGCTGGAAGGATTCAATAAAATAATGAATTTAAAGTGTTTAGATAAGGGCTGAATCCCTTCCCCACCCCTCCCCCAAATCGGTAACTTTTTGTTACAATGAATTTTACTATTTTTCGCAAACATCCATTGAGCTCCTACTGTGTCAGACGAAGCCTTTACTCTCCTTTTCCCATTCGGTGGCAAATTTGCTTTTTTAAAGTAAAAACTAATTAACACTGAAACTCACTGCGGGAACACCTTACAGTCACTACCAGTCTTTGTTCAGTGAGTGATGGAGATCAGCACTTTCCAGATTTGTTTGGAAAGAATTCTGACATCTGAATTGGCGGTGGCAGAAATGAACACCCCTCCCCCAGCACACACCCCCAGCTGATCCCTCTCTGTGCCGTCCCGCAGCCAGAGATGGGCTATGGGCAGCCCACTCAGGGCCCCAAGACAATCGCAGATTCACTTTTGCTTTCCCTACCACACCCTCTGTGGGTGTCCTACCAGAAAAAAGGAAAAAGGAATCCCATTTTATGTTTAAAGCTTAAATGGATTGACGACATAAAGGACTTTCATTTTATTTCACTTAAAGAACAGGTTTCTTCCCGTTCAGAGAGAGTGTGTCTTTCCAAATAAATAGTTCTTGCTCTTTAAACACAGGAAACTTGGGATTTGAACCATCTCCTCCCCTCGCACACCCCTACCCTCCCCAACTCAGATCCCCAGAGCTCCATCTCCTATCACAGGTCTAATTGTTGCTCTATTGCTGGATGTTTTCTCAGCTACCGTCCCTGCTCCAGGTGGCAGAGAATCCCTGGCCTCATTTTAACTAGAGTTCAAAGATGGCAAGGAGTCAGCAGTTGCTTGTTGGAGAGAATGGAGGGAGGGAGAGAGAGAGAAATGCACCAGGCAGCTTTGCAAAGCTACCCCCACCAACAGGGAATATACAAACAGACATTCCCCCTCCTCCCAGCCAAATCAAGGTTTGGGGTAAGGGATCCTGAGTTCTCCTTTAGGCTAGCTGAGGGAGGAAGACACACCTGATCACCCTTTTTGAACTTTGGCGCCGTTTACGCACTTCTAGGAGGGTCTGCAGCTTTTGAAGGGCAAGTTCCCTGGTGGGTGCCCTCGCCCCCAACTCTTCCAGGCCTCCAAGACTGGGAGTGGAGAAATCAGAGGTGAGCAGCAGGCTTACCTTTGAGGTTCGATGTCCCCACAGTGGAGACAGCTGGAGATGAGGACTGCGCGAAGCAGTTGAAGGCTGCCTGTTCGCTGGAGGACTCGTCAGAGGTGCCGTTCTCCTTTCTGTGTCTGTCATCGAACACCCTCATGGACTGCAGGGTGAGCTGTTTTCTGTGGCAGAAGCCCACACCCAGCGTTACAGAACGGAACATACATTTCCCTCCTTTGTTTGTCTCGCCCTCTCCAAAGAGGCAGACCCCCACCTCACCCTGTCTACCGCCCACGGACAACACTAATTCTCTGAAATCTGCTTGCCCCCAGGGCAGCCACACAGACCCAAGCATTGTTCTAGACCCTCTAACTGGGCTGAAGAGTATGGCACAGGGCGGGAGGGAGGACGGAAGAAGGCCCCGGTTGCATTTATTCAAGATCAGGGTTTGATTAGGGAAATGGCACTGGCTTGGGCTGTGAAATCTTGTTTCAAAGCAAAAAGCAAGAGGAGAGGTTGGAGCTGGCCAGAGACAGCTGAACAGCGGGCCTTACAGGGGGAGGGGACCTGGAGACCCCAACTGGTGGATGAAAACAGCGTATAGTTCCTGACTTGTTGTTAAGGTTGGGAGGAAGGGGCTATTTCATGGTGCACTTTCCTAAAATCGTTTCACCAACACATTAATGGGAGTAAAAAATATACTTAGATGTTAGAAATTATTTTTAATGCCCCCCCCTCCCCAAGGGGATCAGTTAAAAATTTGGGCTTATTTTCTGGATGTTAGAAATTCTTTGAAAGGGAGGGAGGGGAGAGCTTCTTTCCTATACTATCCAGCTGTCTGCTTAATGCAAAATGATACATATACTCGTGAATGAGGGAGCCATAGATGTCTCAAGGGGCCTCAGTTCTGTCTGATGGTATTTGCAAGATGAGGTTGCAAAAATTCCAGAGCATTTTGTGAATGGTTTAGTCCTTTCCTGGGACCTGCCCAGGATGAACTTAAATTAATTAGGAATTAATAGGCGTCTGTATATAATCTGTTCTCCCCGTGCTTTTCTTCCAGAGACAAATATGGTGTGGCCTCGTTAATTTCCTTTAAGGTACCATGTAGGAGGAAGAAGTACAGTGTAGGGATATTGGCAAGCATGTGGTGGAGGGGGAGTAAATTATTTTCCACCACCCCCCCTTCTCAATATAAGTGCCTGCATTTTACTTTTAACAGTTGAGACTTGGGACCTAGAAAAGTGATTTTCTAAATTATTTGAGAAATAACTAACAACTGTCTCCGCTCACCTTTTTTCTCTCCTGCCATTCCCAGTGTCCCGGAAACCTTTTGCAAAAGGGTTGTTGTCTATTTTTAACTGAGTTATCTGGAGGAGAAGACACAAGCAAGAAAGAGACATTGGCCTCATTTTCCAGAATGTGTGGGGGTGTTTCACCCAACTCGACAATCTTCTAGAAATTTGACTGCCAACAGAAGTCATTTGGATATGCCAAGTTAAAGAGAAAGGGAGATGGGACAATAGCAGAAGTTTGGGGGGTTGGTTTTTCTCTCAGACCATCCCATGTCTTCCTTCTCCCATAGGAGGCCCAAACCAGGAGTTCCAGGCTGAAATTATCCCGCCTAAGAAATGCCTCATTCTTTTCTTTGGGCAGCTGACAGTTTAGGCTTAGAAATGTCAAAGTTGTCAAAAGGGACAACCTGTAGATCTTAAAATTATGCTTTCATTTTGATTTTTTAATACAGTGCAATTAATCATAAAATATATTATGGCATATTTGCTGCCCCCAAACACACACACACACACACACACACACACACACACAGCATACACTCCAACCTTTTCTGGGAATCTAATAAAATGATTTATGGGGTTTCACTACCCTTGTGCCAGACTGGGTTTCATTTTTTGTTGGGTGGGGAGGGGGGTGTTTGAGGAATTACAATATTGACAATTACAGATTTAAAAGGACTGAATGACCACTGGAAACATTTGTTTTCATTTATATGCTCTGCCACTGCCATTAGGTGGAAAAGGCCCATGGCCTCTTTGTCTGATCAAACATGCTACATTTTATTATTACATTAACAATTTAGAGTCACAGGATTCTGGGTCTAGAGGGAGCATACATTTTGCACGCTGGGGAAAAATGCCATAGCACGTCATCTTTCAAATTCCTTCCCTTTGGGGGGAAGATGATATATACAGAGTTCCCTAGAGGTAGGAAAAAGACCCTTTGGTGGGATTCTTGTTCTTAGAATAAATTCCTGTGTGCAAGATTGCAGGGAAAGGTGGTCGTGATGTCTTAGTCTCCAGACCAAGGAAATATACCTGGAACACCCCCATCAGGGGGCCACAGGGGACCCACCCATAGTGACAGCAAATTCAAAATGCAAGTTGTTGCCCCATGAGCTGGACTCTTCCCTGAAGTCCTGGGTTCAGAAGTTGAAGAGTAGGAGTCCTCAGTTGCCCCCTGGATACCCCCATTACTGCCTGCCAACAGCCAAGCTGGGGACTGGAGAATCTGCAGCAAGAGTCACTTTCCCTGTAAGTCTCTGTGCACATGCTCATGACCTTCAGGCCACCATAACTTTACATACCAGGTGCTGCCTGATCTTCCATTTGGGTATATTCCTAATCCCCAGCTTCAGGCCCCAGGGAGAAAAAAATCTTCATATGAAGTGGTGACTTTGGTCACCTCATCTCAAAAGCCTCAGACAACTCGATTAGCGTGACCTGTGATCAGAGAAGGTTTTCCCAACCACACACACACACACACAGACACACACACACACCATAAAAAACACAGCAGCATAAAAGGTAATAAAAACCAGACCAGCTACTCGGGATTTCTGGCTTGGAGAGACAAGCTGGTCTCCAGTGGGATCCTCCTCCCAGGATCCTGAATGGTTTCTGCCTTAAATTTTTAGCTGGTTCTTTCGAACCTGGTTTCTTGATCCTTCTTCCTGAAGAGGAAGAGGATAAACTTTGAAACAAACAGGAGAAAGCCCAGAGTGGGGGGTGGGGTGGGGCTGGTAGCATCAGCAACAGGGGTTACAGGAGCTTCTCACTGGCAAAGTTAGTTTGGCATTTTTGGACTCAACATTGGATTCCCAGCCGGTCGAGTTTTTTGTTTTTTTTCTCCTGCCTCTGCGAGGTGCCAGCGCCCCTTTTCCCCAAAGCTCCACTAAAGGTCACATTAGAAAAGAAAATTCAGACTCAGACTCTCATTCCAATTCTCTTGTAACCTCATCTTCACCCAAAGCAGCTTAAAGGGAAGGAAAACCATCACCACGAAAAAGGAAAGTGCCTTTGGTTACCTTATCGTTTTGGTATGCTGTCACCGCGATGAATTCGGTTTCGGGGAACAAGTATGTCCGAAATGTACTATAAGGAAGTTTCAAGATGTCATTGGCCCTTACGATGTGGAACCGGGGCTGGTATTTGTGCATGGAGTTCAATATAGTCTGCAGGGGCAGGGAGGGGAGACACACATCAAAAAAGGATTCAGCAGGACAAAGGGATCTTAGGACCCCTGCCAGGCTGACATCTACCCCACCGAAGGGTACCAGGCTTGTACCGAGCCCACCTCCTCGGAGTACCTCTTTGGGTACATTCCGCTCCACAGATGTTATCTTCTGGAGAATCCAAATTGCTCCTCAATTTCCAAAGGGTCCCCCCACCCTCACCATCTAAGGTTCATTCGTACCTTGAACCCTAGCCTACCTGAGTACCAAAACTATAATTCCCCTGCCACGTTGCGTGATCACTTGGAAAGGCCAAAGTCTTAAAAGATAGAGAAAAACATGCATTTTAATTTACAAAATGATTCAGTCCTTTAAGCGCCCACTAATTGATGAGCCCAATCCACTTAAAGCCTTGAAAGGCTGAACTCTAGAGAGGAATATTTATGCCTTAATCAAATCAAGGGCTTCAAATGCAATTCCTGCCCGCTGAATATATTTCCGCGCCATTCACGTCTTCCTGGGCCTAATCTTTCTGCCTATTCCTCGCTTATCACTCTGTTTATTTTATTGAAATGTTGAGGAGGGGTGGGGGCAGGGGGCAAAAGGTCTTTTGCTTCACTTTTACAAGCAGTCCAAGTCTTCTGAAAGTTTCTAAGTATTCTCTCCCTTACTCCATAGATACACTCCCTACACACACACGATTTTTATACCGGAGTTCTAAATCTCATTTCTAGTAAACATGTCTTTCACCTAAGCTCGATCCTTTTTTAGTAAAAGAAAACAAAAAATATTTCAAAAGATATCTTCACACCCTTTCACCAACTGGGTCAAGGTTTCGAACCTTAAAACTGTCCCAAGAAATAATATGGCTGGTTTCAAAACAGAAGTATGTTCTCTTAAAACAAACCCTTTATGAACACATAACTTGAACGTTTATTTTATATCTTAACGATGGGTTTCTAGCTTCACTGTCAGGTCAGGCATTTACTAAGATCTGGAATTGACTTAGAACAGGAGGCGGTGAGTTTTCTTGCCCTCCTGTCTTTTAGAACGCCAGGCCTTCCATTATCCGAAAAGAAACACCCCAGAATCCTCTCTCCCACTCTGCTGCAGATCAAACAAGTTTGCTACGCTTAAGGACAGAGACGTCTGAGCAGAAACTCACAATTTTACATGGAATGGGGAAGCACTGCCTTTGCAAGAGTGAAAAAAGAGAAAATTTTACAGAAGGAGCAGTGAAACTTACAAATCCGTGTTTGTCCGAAATGTTGTTGGTGAGTTTCAGTTTGTGGAAAGTGACGACTTTGGACATCCACTGTTCCCCGGTAGCGGGGCTGTCCGGGTGAATATACATTCTCTTTGGCATTTCTGGGTCTGCCTTACCCGCCACCATCCACCGAGAATTGTGAAATTTATATCGACAGTCATCAGCAGCTATAATGTCCATCAATAAAATATATTTGGCCTTTTTATCCAGCCCAGAACATCTTACTTTAAATGGAGGAAACATTCGCCTACAATAGGAGAGAAGAGAAAAGAAAAAAGAAAAAGAAATCACTCAGAATCTTGTGTCTGATTCTCTATTTATCCTACAATATTTAAATCAAATTTAAAACTCCCTATCGTGATTGATGAGTTTATATGTTTCAGAGTAGGGCGACTGGGTACAAAATCCTTTTCTTCCACAACAGAAGGATTAAATATGCTCAATTTCTTTATCTTTCAGTGTCCCAAGAATCAAAACAAGGGCGTGATGACAGTACCTTTCTCTACGTCGTCTAATAATTTCTTTATAATTTTTTCTCCTGTATGATTTTATAGATTGCCCCCTTTATAGAGAAATTCTTGCTATACCTTTTCCTGTGGGTGTCTAGTTCTAAAGAGCTTGGGGTAGGATTTTAGTCTAGTGCGGTGGTGAGTCAAGGCTAGAATTTTCCACCTCTCATTAATGAGAAAATGTGAAACTTATCAAGGAAATAAACATCAAGATGCATCCCTCCCTGCTGTGAAATAGGAATCCTGCTGCTCCAGAAATGAAACTGGACTTCGGTGAGTTCTCAAAACGAATTTTGTACATCCGGGTGGATTCCCAGGCCTGATAACCAATCTGCATAGCTCACTGCTAACCACATTCCCCCTAATGCTCAGGCCAGTCCAGAGTTGCAAGATCGTGCCACCAAATTGCTGTTTATTTCCCAGAAGTATGGCCATTCTGTGCTCTTGACTTAAAAGGAAGCACTTTGCTGTGAAACTGACTAAATGTCTTCTGGGTTTGAGGATTTTATGCCCAACTTTGGCCTCATTTGGCTTGGAAACACACAGAAAGCTGAAGCGATCAAGAGAGGGATTTTATTCTTTCAACTTTATGCCTTGATAGACTTCAATGCCATTTAAAAAAATCAGTGATTTTAAGTGATAGGCAAGTTTCAGCCAGTCAAGGTCCTCCAAACATAATGTAAAATATGGTTGATAATATTCACACATAAAAAAAAAAGCAGTGTGTGTATCCCCACTGGCTCCTTGGGTCTGTAAACATAATCTTCATTATCCAAACGTGCCCGCTGAACTCTCCCCCGGATCATAGGCACGGGAAGCGGTGTGGAGAAACGTACCCAAATGCCCTTCCATTTCTCTCTGACCCTGGCAGGGGCAGACTCCGGCCCCCTCCAGACCCAGAGGCTAGGCTGGAGGGCAGAAAGGGCAAGAGACCGGTTGTCAGGCCTCCCACTACCACACAAACAAAAAGGGCTTTAAGTTTTTCTCTCTGAGAACCAAATGAAACAGACAAAAGCAGCACACCAACAAAGACCTAAGGATGTTCTAGAAAGCTTTCAACAGTGAACTTCCTGCAGTGGAGTGGTTTTCTTTCTTCCTGCAGAGATGTCTGTGCTCCACTGAGAAATTCTAACTATCCTGTAGGAAACCCAGGATGCAGACCTAGGTAGGAAAAACTGCCGGCTGCAGGCGCCCAGGTAAGCTGAAATTCCCTGCCACAGGGGCCGGGCTGGGGAGACTCCATACACTGTTCCAGGGGAGCTAAGTTTTCCTCCAAACCGAAATCACTGGCAAACCGACTGTTCTGGGAGGAGAGAGAGAAAAGGAGGGAAAAAACCTCCAGGAGCTTGGGGGAGGGGGCGCGCGGCTTGCTTACCTTCCCGACTTGGTAATGACCATCTCGGTGCCCCTCTTATGGAACTGATCCCAAAGTTCTTTGGCCTCGAGGTGCACCTTGGGGTCATCCTCCACCTCTTCTTCGGGCTCCATGGTCTTCAGAGGCCTCAAATGCGCCTGGGGGCCCAGGGACGAGAAGGGGATGCCGGTCTCGGCCGCCCCCACCAATTGATCCATGATCGGCTTGGCCAGGGCGCCGGGCAGCGAGAGCGCCGCCGCGCCGTTGGGAGGCAGCGTCAGCGCGGGGAAGAAGGGCGGCTGGTGACCCAGCACCGCGCTCATGGCGAAGTCCGGCGCCCGGTGAGGTAGGAACGGATGGTAGGCCATGCTTGTCCCAGGAATGACCGGATCTCTCATGGAGAGACTCATCCACTGCAGGCGGGGCGCTGGGCTCCAGCCGGGGACAAGTCGGCAGCTGCTGTTTTGTTTTTGTTTTTAACAGCAGCACATAGTTTAAAAAAAAAAATAAAAGGAAAAAAAATAAAAAGCAGAAAAGAAAAAAAAAATCACAACTAAAGCACCTCAAGGGACAGGGCAAAGTGTTCTTTGGGGAGGGGAATGCCGCTTTTAAAGAGGGCAAGGCGAGAAATCAGGAGACATAGTCGCTTGGGTGACTGCCCTTGTGCCTTGCGTGTTTAAAAAGCCGCTCCTGGAAGTCGGTTTCAGAGGCGAAGGGAGCGCACAGGGTCTCCACTCGCGCCCGAGCCCTGCCGCTTAGCTCGAAATAGACACTCCAGCCCTCGGTCCCGGCAATCGCTCCCCAGCCCCCAGTTCTTTGTTGCAAATGCGGGCGCTTCTCCTAGGAGACTTTCCCCTCTTCTTCGCCTTCTTCCCCCGCCCCTATCTCTCCTCCTCTCCCTCTCTCGGAGGAGGCGTCTGCAGTTGCGCTAGACTCGGCTTCCACCGCGAGCGAGAGAGCGGAAAAAGTCTCTCTCCTTTAAAAAAAAAAACAAAAAAAACAAAAAAAAAAACCCTCTGATTTAATCCCTCTGCTACCAGCGCTATCAAAACTTGAACTGCAAACTGGCTTCCGTTCGCCCTCCTCCTCCTTCCTCTGCTCCGAGCCTCCGGAGGGTGTCTGGGTTTCAATCCGAATCTCGCCTGCTCTTCTCCCGCGCCTGTCTTCCTTGTCCTAAAACGTGAGCGAATTCGCTTCCTAAATCTGCGTCCAGACGCGCAGGGCAGGGAGGATTTAGGGGGGAAAAATGGAAAGGAGGGAGAGAGAGAGACGGAGTGGGAGAGGGAGCGCGAGGAGAGGGAGGGAGCGAGAGAAAACGAGCGAGAGCTCCTCGCCACCCTCCTCCGCCTCTAGAATTCCCCGGGCGTCTGCTCGGCGGCTCTAGAAGGTCGGGCTCTGCTGTGGGCTGCGGGGAGCCGGAGGCCTCTTGATTGGCTCTTTGACGCTTTCGGACCAATTGTGTTGCTGCATAGGCGTGGTTTTCACAGGTCGAGTGCTGGGGGATAGAGCCGAGTTATAAAAAGAAGGTGTCGGAAACTGTAACGTCGCAGCGCCGCATCGGTACTACTGCCTGTCCTGTGAATATGTCAACATGATCAGAGGGAGGGCGGGGAGCCACTGGGGAGCGCGCGCACAGAGTCGCCTCTAGGTGGCTTATCGAGAGATCGCAGCAGCCCCAGAGCTCGCTCGCTCTTGCTCAGCCCACGTCTGAAATGCCTCAGTCATCCAGCCCGGGATCGAGGGAGGAGGCTGGGCCAGGGAGGAAAGGGGAGGAGGAGGGAGCGAGCGAGCCGGGCGAGGAAGGCGGAGAGCGCGCCGGGCGCCGGACAGGGGCGCTCGCCTCTCGCGCGCTCGGCTCGCCTCTCCAGCCGCCGCGGCCGTTTCTCTCTCCCGCTCAGGCTCTTACTCCGACCCCGGGCGAGCCAGGCAGGCGGCCGAGCCTCCTGCGAGCTGCCATTTGGCCGCTGGGCGCCACAAAAGCCAGCAGCCGCGGAGAGGCGAGCGCCAAGACTCCCGGCTTGTGCGCTCTGCAGCCCCACGTGGAGCCAGGCTCCGCTCGGCCGCCGCTAAAGGGCTCCCGAGCTCGGGTGTCTCTCGGTGCCGGTCTCCCCGGCATCTGGGCTCGCGGCTTCACGAGCACACGGATGCGGCCAGATTTCAGCACACGCGTGCGGGGGCTCCCGCTCCACTGTGCCCCACCCGAAACCTCGTGCGGAGACCCAAACACTCCCAGCACATCTGTTCGCGAACACGCCAGCACACTGGGACCCAGCCACCCGCAGAAAAACACGTACAAGCAAATATGTACACAGCCTGCGCGGCTGGCCCTGTCTGCGCTCACTCCGGGAGGCGGACTTCGGGATTTTTTGAAATGCATTTGCCAGCCCTTTTAGATCTGGTTTTCCATCTGGATTCGGGCTTCCTGTATTGCACCTGAATGTGTGTTTGAGTGTAGAGGGGAGAATGGAGATCTGGACAAAGTGAGCGCCGCGAGGGACGAGGTCCTGGGCCTGTCCCCGCCAAGCTGCTGCCGTCTCCTCGGCGGCGGCCTGCTTGGTGCGGAGCTGCTGGTAAGGGGTGGGCGAGCTGGTAGGGGGAGGTGCGCCAGCCTTGTATCTTCTCCAAGCATCGCACTTATCTCTCGGCGCTTCAGTTCTTTCTCCACCCGGGGACTTATCTCGCCAGAAGTCGGGGGTGAATTTGTAAAACAAACCGTGAAATGCCCCCACCCCAGAGGCGAGGTGACTGGTTCCAGTTCAGGTAGGGTGGGGACCTCAGCGAGGGTCAAGGGGAGGGGGGCAACCCGATCTTACCGATCAGACCAGTCGCCGAATTGGAAGCCGTTATGGCAGGTCCCTGTCTGGGTCAGAGGATTCCCTAAACCCCTGTTTCTCGCTTCTGGGCGTCAATGAGTTGGGCTGTCTCTGCTTAGATGGAGGGAAATCTTGGGGAGAATGTTCTTTTACCCTTCCTGAGCTGAGACCTTCTTCCAGTGGAAAAGGAATGGAGAAAGGGGTGATTTCGGGGCGTAGGGGGTTAAGAAACTCAAGGCTTGGGTTGAGCGTGTGTCTCTGTGTGTAGACGGCACCATCCTCTCACATTCTGACCTGTGTCCTTCCTAACCCCCAGCTCCCAGGTCCGAAGCAGGAGCAAGTCGAGGGTGGAAATGCAGTTCCATTGTGGGCCAACCGCGCCGAGATAGGGGCGGAACTTTTGAGGCGACAAGCTTTTCCAGCCTCGCATTTTTGACGCACATGGTTAAGAGCGCTTGGCGCCAGCGCCGAGAATTCCCTGAAGTCACCAGAGAGAATAGAGTGGTTCTGCGCATTCAGTCTGGCTCGCCATCTCGCCCCTTTCTTTTCCTCTCGGCCTGTCTTTCTCCATCTCTCTCTGCTGGTGGTTAAGAAGAGAGAAAATGGGAGAGAGAAGAAAGAGGCGACGGGCGCCCAGGGTGTTGCCGCACAACGCCTCCTCCGTCGTCCCTGGCGGCCCGATCCTGAAGGCTGCCAGAGGCCAGGCCTTCCCCTCCTCACACCGACCGCCGAGGTCACTGCAGGGTTTCACGAGTCTCTGGAGGCAAAAACCCACCCCCTCCCCCACAGTGCTCGCCGCCTGAGCCTGGGGCAGCCCCGCTGCACTTTCAGGAGCGGCCCCAAACCCTGCGATCTGGAGTCTGCAGTCGCCGCCAGTCTCTGCGCGGCCGCTGCGAGTGGAAGGAAAGTAATTCTGTAACCACAACGTGACTGACCCCCTGCTCACCTAGTCGGTGCCCCAAGCGTCCAGACGCACAGAAGAGGGACATTTTACTCGGCCCTCTGCATTGTGCCCTCCCTCCTGTTTTGGGCATGGAAGGGAGCTTGCTGATTTTACTGTACTTGTAAATATCTCAACTCGCCTTTGGCCCCACCGTGGACTGAGCGTGATTTCTGCCCTTCACACTGCCCCCTCCTCCCCCATGTGCCTATTTTTGCCCGTAGCTCTAACTTAACCCTGGGGTCACCCCAGTTGCCACTCCTGACCCTCACTCCCACTCTAGCGCGCACGGGAGGGGGGAAGAGGAAAGTTTGCGGGGTTCTGAATAGAAAATGTCGACATCTTGCTAATGGTCTGCAAACTTCCGCCAATTATGACTGACCTCCCAGACTTGGCCCCAGGAGGCTCGTATTATGCAGGGAGGCCGCGGTAACTTGGGATCAAAAGCGCGAAGGTGCGAACTCCTCTTGGTCTCTGCGGGGCCGCCGCGCCCCCCTCCCGGTGGGTGATAAACCCACTCTGGCGCCGGCCGTGCGCTGGGTGATTAATTTGCGAACAAACAAAAGCGGCCTGGTGGCCACTGCATTCGAGTTAAACATTGGCTAGAGTGTTTCGAAGACTTGTGCCAGGCCTGGCCGCCGGGGTAACCCGCAAGGCTAGCACGCCCCAGGCTCGGGCTTGGGGCTCCAGCCGCGGGCTCTACGCGGCCGTTGTTTTCCTCTTTGCAGCCCCCCTCGATCTTCTCTCTCTCCTCGCCTCACGCTGCACAAAAGACAAGCGGGAAACCGTGAATGAGCCTGCCCCTCGGCCGTCTGACAAGCGCTGCTTTACGCGCAGGAGAAGGGGGCCACATTTCGCATCCGAGAGGACTCACGGAACTTCTGGTGTCCCCCAAATATTCCTCAGAGATTTTCACTTAATTCTAGGCTTGATTTAAAAAAAAAAAAAAAAAGAAAAGAAAATCCCCGGCTCTCCAGATCTGTAATGCCTGCAGCGTTTAGAGAAGGAGTGTGTGTGTGTGGATGCCAAAGTGGGGAAGGGGCAGAGGAGCCTCAGAATAAATTTCGTATGTACACAAACCGCACACACACAGACGCAAATGCAAAGCCGAATCACCTATCCTCGGCCCAGGCCAGGATGCGGCAGAGAAGCCAGCCCTTTAAAGAATAGCCCAGGAAGCCTCTGCTGGATCCTGCTTCTCCCTCTGGCACCGCCTGCCTCAAACTATAAAGGGGACCAACCGACCCTTTTGTGACCGAATGGTGTTTATCTGAAGTTTACAAAAAAGGGAGGAGGAGGGGGAAGGAAGGGTGGGTAGGCGGGGTCGTTTACTTTGGCAAGTTTGCTGTAAATATTCACTTCGGCTTGTGTGAGGTCTGGCGAGGGACTATTACACGCTCATTCCCTCCTCAACTTTCACCCCGGTTAGCGGCGGAGGTTTTTCAGTCGGAGGTGTCGCTAAATTGGGAACTCTGTTGACATAAGGACATCCGTGTTTCTCCAGGGGTCTGAGGCCTAATTAAGAAGTTTCCTAGGGGGGTCGGTCCATACGTAAACTTTTCCCGGGGAGGGGCTTTCTGGTCGCCCGACAGCGGAGAGATGGCTCCCTGTTTCTGCCCTTTGCCCTGGCGCACTGGACCCCGCGCTTTTGATATTGACAAGTTTTGAAACTGACTAGGTGCCCGCTTGGGGCTCCCATCCTTCTTCGTGCTCATTTTCCCCAACTGGGGACGATCCCAGGGAAGCTGCTCCCTCGGGGGTATCTAGCATACTGCGCGTGGTTCCTCCCGCAAATGGCCGCCAGCACCCCCTCCCCACATTAGCTCTCGTGCTACCGAATCCCTGATGCTCCCACTCGCAGCTCTGAACCCAACGGACGACTTCTGCGCAGTCCTAGGAGGCTCGATTGTCCTCCTGGAACTTCGCGTTCACGCCCTCCACCCCCAACAAAAAGCTTGCTTTAAGAGCTTAGTTCCTCTCAGGTCAGAAGGCTGCCGGGTCAGCCTCTTTGAGGGAAAGTCAGCTTCCCCATTCTTCTTCTGCCCAGGGGCAGGCACAGCCTCTTGGTTGGACCAGACAGGGCACCCACCCTTTGTCCCCCCCCCCTTTTTTTGTCTCCCTGTCTCTCTGTTCGTCTCCTTTCAGGATTTTGTGACTGTGGATCTCTGATCTTTCTTCTGTTTCCTTCTCCTGTCTCATCTCCCTGGCATCTATCTGGTTCTTGGTTTCTATTTCTTCTTCCTCTCTGGCTCTATCTCCCGGCCTTTCACTTCTCTTGTTCTTTCTGTTTTTGATTTACTCTCTTTTCTACTCTTTCTTCCTTTCTATTTTCTCTGGCTTCCTCTCTGAATCCTCATCTGCCTTTCTGTATTTCTGGATTGCTTCTGTATTTCCCCCTCTCTCCCTCTCTCATCTTTTCCAGTAACCACAACATGCTGCAGATACCTCTTCCTGGGGTTCGAGCCAACACTTGCCCCTCACGCCCTTGGCTGGGATGATAAGGTGTCCTGAGAGATATAAGAGAGTTGGGCCCATTTGTGTAGGTTGGAAATCTCACTTTTTCCTTTTGGTATCCCAAAAGTCACCCTTTTACACAGAGCTGGCTCTCACCCCTGCTCCAAAGCTCTGATCTCTCTGTCTCTCCTTTCCAAGGCAAGAGCCCAGGGCAGAGGGGCAGCATGTCTAAAACCTGTCTTGCCCCAGCAGCACAGGGCTTTCCTGTAAGGCGCATTTCCCTGTCCTCTGACAGCCCTCTAAATTATTGATCAGGGCAATTCAGTGCAAGCGTCTGGAGCTTGTGTGAGATTGAGAAGATTGTCAAAGTTGTCTAGCTTGGGGAAGCAGTATTTTTAGTACAGATGCTCACTTTGGCACCAGTTGGTTTCTGCTGTTTCTAGAGGATCATTCGTTATACACTTAATCCACCCTTAT